GCTTCGGTAGCAAATGGGGCTCTGCCGCGAGCACCCTGGAACATGGAGAGGAAGTCCACTCAGCATTCGGGGCTGACCATGGTGCTGGTTTATGCCAAGAGCTCCATATCCTAAAGTGCACAGTTGCAGAGGTTGCTGTAAGGACTGTGCAGCGATTCCTATAGGGGTTCAATCCACGCGTCTTGGCGCAGTTTGCATGGAGCAGGCTCAAGAGAAGAAGCCTCATGCTTAAGACAATGACCTCGGTGCATCTAGTCTCGCCGAACTGACTATATAGACGGCACAAAAGCAGTCAAACTCAAAACTCAGGGTCCCCTCTTGACACCTCTTTGCAATGTGCACGCAGGCCACTTCGAAAGACCTATACAGGGAACGGATCAATTTAGTACTTGCCCAAGAATTGAGACAGGGAGGGAGGGAGAGACAGAGAGAACCAACTTTCGACCTACATAAGAATGACCTGCCTCTTGTTTGGGGTTATATCATTCTAGACAAGGCCGTGATATAGAGAGATGATTTAACTTGCGATATCGATATCACTAGACTCAGCCCATTTCCCAGGTCATGCTTAAGTAAAAATGTACTATTTCAACATCTTCGGAGGCCTTTGGCAACCCAAACCCCTAGAACAAGGAACTTGTTGCATGATGGCCTACGGTCCAAATGCTAGGGGTTGGGGTTACCAAAATCCGCTTGTTCTCAAGTATTGGCAAAGTCCAATCAGGAGTACCCCTAAGCCCTAAACAGTAGGTTTCATTTTCTTTTCCATTATTCCTATACAATCCGAATATAAGCCTATACACCCAGTGTAACCCTAAACCCCTATACCCTAAACCCTTGTACCCTGAACCTAAACCCTTCTACCCTAAACCCCCACAAAGTCTTTTGGACCTTGGACTTGGGGCTCCGGATTCAGACAACCTCGGAACCTGCAATTACCAGCTTCTGAGAAAGAACCCAAAAACAATAGGGTTTAGGGTTTCACGGTTTAGGGGTATAGGGTTTAGGGTCTGCGGTTTAGGGATCAGGGTTTAAGATTTAGGGATTAGGGTCTAGGGTTGGTCCTTAAACCCTGAATCAGCTGCAGCGGACTCCCCGTCCAAGGGCTCACTACACATTGATAATGGTCTTGCCCTTCTGGAGGAACTGAAACACCTCCTTTGCCACCTGACCGAGCAGGGGATGAAGTTGAAGAGCTGGAAGCGGCTCCACTAACAAGGTCGGTTTAGGGTTTACGGTTCAGGGAACCCTAGCTGTAGCAGGTTAGCACTAGCCAGCTTATGATTGCAGAACTTGAAGTGAAGCAAAATTGGGACTGTTTTCTATATCGGTTATATAGACTACACTATAAGGTATCTAGGCGAGGTAACAGAAATTGGTACGTCTACGGTCATGAAGTTTTTCTCTCGCTTGCGGGCCTTCAAGCTAGCGCTGTTTAGGGTTTAGGGCTTGTAAAGTGGCCCCTTCCCCTTGATCCTGCACCGTCTCTTTTGCCGCCAGCCTCTTTAATGACTCTAATGTCAAGTTTCCGGCGTTGAACAAGGTACAACAAGGGGAACCCCTTTGTTTGGGATTACAATAGTTGATGCCAAGTTGTGCCAGAAGTAGCAACTTTGGATTTCAATTGATCTTGCTTTAGACAATATAGTTTAACATGCCCAGGACTCGACAGGTCGACTGAGACTGACCACACCCCCCAGGTCCACGGGAATTTTGAATAGTGGAGGGAGGGGTGGTTATTCAAGAGAAGGTGATAGATACCAAGCTCGCGCATGCGACCCTCAAATCCAAACGACTTGTTTGGCATCCTCGCTCCGAGGGCTTGTGGGGACTGTGGCCACTTGGATGTGGGTCAGCGGCAGTTTTCAGGGAGGACGCTTGTAGCTTTTGAATTAGACATCTAGGACCTGGGAGGGATGTAGTGATTGCGTCCGGGTCGTGCCGCAAAAAAAGTATCTCATCGTGGGACGTTCAAAAGGGGCCGTGACCTGGTTCCAAAGTATACACGGCATCGACCCCTGCATAATCGCCGATGAGTGGTGGGTTCGGGACCTGTAGACATCATGCAAGGCACTGAAGATTTTGCTGGCGCGGTACCTTTCGGAAATGCTCCAGAGGTGAAACTGGTCAGTGATCCAAGCTGATCTACTCTTGCGACTGCTGGTGGCAGCACTGCATGCTGCTTGGAGCCTTAAGGTTCCCTAAGCGGTGTAATGTAGCTTTCGGAGTAGCCAACCCCAGGAAACCTGCTACACCATCTGCCCAGACTGGGCGTAGGGCACAGGAACATAACCCAACAACTGTCATCAAAGCCAAAGGGCAACACCCTTGTCGTGCGCTAATGTGGCGGACCGCCACGAGATTCGTTTGCGCAGAGTGTTTGCTACGGCGTTTTGCTGACCTGGCCTTCTAAGGCGGAACTGCTACAGGGCTTGAGGGACTAGCTCAGCGGGCAGAGAGAGGTAGAAACGTGGGGGATGCCACGTTGCACAGGTTCCTAGAGTCGTCTAGCTACCTCAATGCGGCCCACCAAGTGCGACGTCCGCAGCAAACAAGCTGCACTGTTCGGCAGCTACACCGGTCCCTTTATTAGGGCAAACCAGGCAGGCCTGCCTTTCTAAGAGTCTATAGTGGCGACAGCTAACTTTTGATCCACGCGCTATGGGCCGTGATAACAATGGTAAAGCATGAGCTTGAAGAACACTTAACCCTAGAGCTGCGAGGCTGCTGCGCTACAGCTATCATGCTGCCTCTTGCAGGACTTCTTAGCGCAGCGCCTCAGACAACCTAGTGGACCCTAGCTCGTGAATTTGTTGAGACGCATTCTGGTCGGGAAGCAGATAGGGAAGTTGCTTTAAGAGCTCCCCAAAACAGGCTCCAGGAAACCCATGCCTCCAGGTAGCCCCAGTCCATCCCACACGTAGCCCCAGGTAGACCCAATAGCCCCTCTTGGGAGTGCTCTTAAGGTTCCCATGCAGGAATCAAGGGCATTTCCCAAAATTAGGGGTGCCATTTTGGGGGCCCCTATAATAAGGATTTTCTAGTATTTTAGGGTCTGTATCGTGGTCCCCCTATTTTGGGAACCTGCGACATGCTGTACAAGAGTGATAGCTAGGCCCTAGCTTTCAAGGCACAAAACAAAGCTTTTCAATACACTGCCAAGCATCCCGACACCATGGAAAACAGCCCGTCTGCTGGTTTCCCATGAGTCCTACCTGGACCCTGGGTTCCCTCCGTATGTCTTGGCTTGGGGCTATGCCACGATACAAGGGTGTCCAAAGTCAGGTGTACCTTTTTGGGGGCCCCCATAGTAGGATCATAGCATTTTGGTGTCTACATTGCGGTCCCCCTACGGAGGGACGTCCAGGGTCTGGGTATGCTGACGGCCTTTTGACTGTTCCAGATTTACCATGCCTAGAGACTGAGGCCACCCCTGCTCCGCCCTGCTGGGGGCTCTGCATCAGGCAGATCTTTTGGCGGCGCTTCTTCCCTGAGTTGTCCAATTATGGGGTAGATCTCGAGAGGGATCCCCAGGCAAAGGAGTCCTTTGAAAGGGTCGAGAACAATGCCATACGTTCATAGAGAGGCTTTTCTGTTTTGGGGGCTTTTGGGATCTACAGTCTACAGGAAGGTTCGACGAAAGGTCAACCCACTGCGACGGTGACATATTTTGTTGATGACCCTTCTTATTACTGAGGAGTCGTACTAGCTTTTCCTAACAAATTTGTGTCGCTCTGGGATTGGCATATGGACTCACGTTGGCAGATTGCATAAGCTCTTGGCTCAGTCGGCCGAGCTCCCCAGCACGCACGTCATCAAACTTCTCGAAGAGCATGAATACAAGCACAAAGCCCAAAGCGAAGCGTGTACTGCAATGTACCACTCTGAAACACTGTAGCTTCAAGCATGATCAAAACCTCAGACCACTAACAGCACTAACAACCTCGACCATATCACATAAACCCGGATTATGGCCTTCAATCCCAAACTCAATCGAACTCCCAAGCATCTGGATGGCAACGGACACAGACAATGGTGTCTGGACGGGTTTGAAACCTGGGCTGTTACGGGTGCAGAGTTTGGAGTTTAGGGTCTAGCGCCACAGGTGAATTAAATGCCAATTGCAAGAAGGGAGTGAGGGTTGCGCGACGGCTAGAGGCAACATGTGCAAATGGCTAGAACCCCACAACCAAACCAGTGTGTTGTTTCTTTAAACCCCTGCTTGCGCATGCATTGATCCAGCTTCGTTCCTTCTTGGGTGTCCGCAGGATCTATACCCGTGGTTTTGGCTTCTCATCTATCGCACTACGCCAAGGGAGTGTCCGTGACTGTGCGAGGCGGCTCTTGCCCTCGAAGCTTTCGGCGAGCTGCTTGAGAGCTGGGAAGCCATAAACCCCTCAAAAGGTCTGGGAGACTGGCCCTGTGAAGCCTTGCAAGTTTCTGCAAGTTTGGAAACCGTCTTGCTATGTAGACCCTGGAGCCCAGATCCTCCTACGACTCCAACTCCAAGCTATTGGTGTCAATGGCTGCAGGATGTAGTTCTGGGTTCAGGCAGCCCCAACAAAGGTGCGCACAGCCTGCAGGCCGGCAGGGGTTGCCTGGCTCTTGGAAAGATGTCAGTGAGGAAGTCTATCCCTTGATCGTCCCCAAATTCCCTAATCCCTTCCCCCTGCGATTAAACCCCCCAACCCCTAATACTAAACACTCTCTATTGTTGTATATTTAATATATTCGGAATATCTAATATTAGGGGGGGGGGTGGGGGGTTGAGTATCAGGGGGAGGGGATTACAAACGCAAGGTAAGCTCAGCGCTCGGGTGTAGAAAAGCAAAGAAGGACGCCGTCAGATGTCGCAGAGGAAAACTACGGGTGATTCCCAAAACTCAGGGTGCCGTTTTTGGGGGTCCCCATAATAAGGATTATAGGATTCGTGGGTCTATCTTGGGCCTCCCCTATTTTTAGCGGATCTACCCTATCCACACCTAGAGACTCAGCTTGACGGGAAAGCAATTGAAGATTAGGATAGCCACCACGAAAATAATCACGTCATAGACCGCCAAAGCCAAAAGGAAGCCAATTATTTGAACCTCTAAGTACAACATGGCCACAAAGAGCAGAATCACTGCCAGAAGCACAAAGCAGTTGATCAGTATGTCGCCACAAATGCGCACGGCCCTGGTCTTGCCAACTTGGTTCCGTAGCAGGCAGGTAAGCTTTGACGTCACGAAGAAAAGAATTGGCACCTGGGGCATTGATCTGATAATGAGGAATAATAGTTGGCAGCCCATCTTGACTTCGGTAATTCATCCGGGCTCAACAGCAAAGGAAAGCCCTAGATTGAAAGAAGTTGCTTTGGGCCAGATTAGGGTTCTACGACTACTTTTAAGGCATAGGTGATTTTGACACTCACATCGCTAATCGCCTAGAATTAAACCAAAAAATCGCAGCCGTAAAAGGAAGGTAGAGGTTTACTGCGGTTTAAGGGGTAGTCTGACATCCGAAGAGTCGGAGTCTCTGAGATTTGAAGCAATCAGTTCTTGTTCTGCGGAACTGAACTTTTCATTGCTTCTTTTCTAAGGGGCGCACCCTCGTCATTGAAGAGCTCGGATTATTAAAAATGACTTCATCAATTGGTTTCTGTCAACAACAGCAAAGGCACATTGCCAAGAGTCCAGCCAATGCCGCGGATGATTTCTCGCAAAGCATCACTGCTTAAAGAGAACACATCACCGGGTTTGTGCTTGTACCCCTCGCGGGGGTGGAGCGCCCATTCCAGCGGTTCAGAAGCAGCGTCCATGTGAAGCCACATAACAGGCACCGCCATCAGAACAAACTCCTTGTATGTCAGCACCTGCGATGCAAGCTGCTCCGTCAAGCAAACCAGGACTTCAGTACGCACCATACGGTTGAAGGCGTCAGAGCTGCCAAACCAGCGGGCTATGCACGAAAGCAAAACTCGCCGATCACATGTCATTCTCGCGCCGGCCGCGTTTATGTGACCGACGGAACAGCAATGACATGAACAATCTTCGCATCGGAACTGTTGCAACTCGTGGTGCAAAGTCTCCACGGACCGGAAGAACTGACGTAACGTCGCGACACTCCAAAAGAATCCCACAACAGCGAATGCCGCCATCATCGGCCACATGACTGCATGGTCGTTGTTCTTCTGACCAGTCGGCACGAATCCCATACCTAAGACCATGCAGGACAAGGCCACCGGAATTGAGATGAAACCAGGCCCTATTAGTGTAGGCCTGACAATTACGCGCGCTCTTTGCCCGCTGTCGCGGGTGCGCAGGAAGGCTGCAATCTCGAAGCAACACCACAAACGTCTAGTATAGGACGGGTCCCACAGCACGAGCAAAGAATCGGAAGCCTTCAGGAAGGCAGGCATGCTGAAGAGCGCCAAAGCCTTACGCCGCGCATTATCCTGGTCAATGCACAGGACATCCATGAATATACTTTTCCTGGGTCGCCAGCTGAGGAGCACGATGCAGTAGGTCAAAAATCCGACGGCTTTGGCCCAGTAAGAGACCATGGGGTACTGTGGTGCGTATGGGGGTTCGACCTGATACTCGCGGAACTCCATAGGCAAGCCAGCGGCAACGAAAAGGACGGCCGCGATGGTCGCCATAAATGTGGCAATCATTGGTGCAATTCTTCCATTGTTGAGGAACAGGGCCGTCATTACCTTGATGCGCTTCTGGCCATGCCAGCTGTGGCTCCAGAATTCATGAATCCTGCCAATCTCATAACCAAAATTCCGAAACGATGACTGCTTGCATGAGTAGAAACCATGCATGGCTTCAAGGGAAAAGCAAGCCGGGCCGGCGGTAACGCTGGCTGACCAAGGTGGCGGCAGGTGGCGGCGGCGGCGGCGGGTGGCGGTGGCGGTGGCGCTTGGCGCTTGGCGCTTGGC